GGGTGCTCACCAGGATGGCAGGAAAGGGGACAATAAGCCACTGAGCCCTGGATGTCCCAGGCTGGCCAGAGGGACCCAGTGGGCTGTCATCAGCTTCCTGGGATGCCTGAGTGGAGAGTCCCAGCGGCAGGTCTTGACGTCAGAGTGAGCATGAGCTTTGTCAGGAGGGAAAGCACCTACTGCTTCTCACAGAGGTTCAGAGTGGGATGAGCAAGACATGAGTGTGCACAAGGGGAAGATACATGGAGGTGAACCTTGTTGGAAGGTCAGGTTTGCTCTCGTCGGTGAGTGCTGAAGGGTGACAGGCCAAGACTCGGGTGTTGTGGTGGAAGGTGCTGCTCTGCTGCAGGGGACAGGCTGGCTCTCCATCCCCCAGCTGCTCTCCCCACCTGCCTGAGCTGTGGGTGGGAGGAGCAGGTGTGTGTGTTGGTGTACATGGCATGGCAAGGCCTTCATCCCCTCTTGCTGAGACTGGAGGGATGAGCAATGTCTTCCTCACTGGTATTACCGGCATCTACGTTAAAAAAAAAGACGTGAGTGGGCACAGAGTCCTCCACCCTTTCCTTTTCATTTATTTTACTTTGATTGTGCTCGTGAGCACATCTTTTTCTATAGCTCCTGACTCAGAAGCTATGAATGTTATCAGAACTGCAGAGCAGAGCCTTCCAGCAGCTGCCCAGGAGTGTGGAGCTCCAGACCGTTTTCCATCCTCTCATCTTTCCCCCCTTTCTCCTCTCCCACTCATCCCAAGGAGCAGCTGCAGTGTTCACTGGCAGCCAGAAGGGAAGGCAGGCAGACAGCTGTCACACTGTGAATCAGATCTTAAAATGTGGTTTGGAGGGGAAGATTTTTAGCTTTATTTCCCACTTGCAGAACAAAGAGCATCTGTTTCTTGACGCTTGGAGTTTTCTGCTGATCTGAGGGTTTGACTCTCTGTTACAGACTCTGTTTAGGGAAACTGAACTCAACCAGCCAGTGCAAAATACCCTTCTTGTGTTTGTTCATTGATTAGGTCCCTGTGAAATGAAATGCAGATTATTTATGAGAGAACAGAATGTTTAAGTGAGAATGTGAGGCAGTGTGTGTGATTCTCTCTGATCCTGTGTGGCTGGAAACAGTGTAAGCAGATGGACTGGTTATTAGTTTTATTGTTTGGTGGAATTTGAAGGCAGTGAGTTTCAGACTTTGGCTTGAAACATGTTCATGTGTGCTGCAGTAGTGAGGGATAGAATGGGTTCTTGGACACTCTGGGAATCAAGAGAGCCAAAAGTGAGTCACATGGGCGACTGCAGACATCATCTTTAATTGTGTAATAATACAACAGCAAGCACAATTGGAGCAGGCTTGCTGACCTCACAGCTGAAAGCACTATTTAAGATCTGGCCACCAGATGTTCCACTCGGATCCAGGCAGCTGCTAGCAGAGGTTACCCTGAGTGTTTAACCAGGGAATATTTACAGCCTTCTCGTTCAGGAGAGATGATTGCATTGATTTTCTTTTCTGCCCTGCTGTGGGAGAAGGCTCAAGCATGGGGATTCAAGGACGGAGTGCTGCATAACTCCATTTGGTTAGGTAAGAAAGGATTTAATCATGATTTTTTACTGCCAAAGTCATTATGTTTGTCTAACAGTGTAGAGATGAGCACCTGGCAATGCAAACTGGAGCCATGCATTAATATCAGCAAAACCCTGCATTGTGAGGTGAGGATTTTATCTGAGTGGTGACTGCAAGTTTTGTCCCTGTGAGCCCACTCTTTCTACTCTGAAGTGCAGGGAAAAGCAGTTACTGAATATTTTCTCTGAATGTATTTTCCTGCAGCATCAGGTAAAGTGAAAACAGCATTAAATAACAGCTGCTTCTAATGAAGGAAAACAAGTATGAAGAGAAACATTTGCCAAAGGAATGAATTACTTTCTGCATGAACATACTTCAGATGCCTGGGGTCCTACATATGAAACTAAATGATCTGGAAATAATAGAGATAATATTTCCTAGGTTTTCTAGGAAAGCACAGAAATGTAGATGTTTTGGCCATTGGTTTGTTCACATCATTAGGCAGTGGAGAGAAGGTTTCAAGAGGGCTACAGAACATGCTGTGGGAGCAGTTTCTTACACCTCAAGTGGGTTTAAATGTCTCTTAAGAGTTCTTTTGCAGATCTTTACCCAATACAACAGAAAAATACATTCAGAATGTAGTGACGAAAAGGATGCCAGAAGGAAAACATGCACAGGGTGCTCTTCTTTGTAGGCAAATACTTGCAAGCTTCTTTATCACCTCTAGGATGTTGTGCATTTCTGCAAGGGGATTCCTGTGGCTGGTGCAGGTTTCTGTTGGGCTCAGATGTTTCAGGAAGCACTGGGGCCACGCTCTGGCGGCTGGTGCAGCAGCCACGTGCCTCCAGTCCCTTCCCAGAGGACTGTAGGAAGTGACAGGAATATAAATGGAGGGAGAAGTGATCTGTATTGTTTTCCATCTGACTGCACGTTTTTAATGACTTCTCTTTCCTTCTCATCTTGGAGCACGTGTTCCATAGTTGCTGAAGGTGCTCAGGTGGGGGAGAGAGCCAGGGCAGGGCAGCTGGGCAGCTCCGTGCACCACCTCGAGTGGCTGCTGTTCCAAAAAAAGGATGGCAGAGAAGAAGTTTGTGTAAGAAACAAGGAAATCTGGTATTCCTGGCTGGAATAACAGCAAGGAGGGACAGAAGATAAGCAGGACTGAGGCTGTGTTAAGCCCTGATAGTAGGGTTGTGGGTGCTTGGTTTGCAAATACCAGTGTAAGCACAACTGGTGCAGCCAGCCTGCAGGGGCTGGCACAACATCAGTGTGAATTTGTGATAACAGTGATCATTTAAAAAGTTGATTTGAGAAAAAAAAACAAACCCTCTAATTCTTTAAAATGAAGCAGCAGAGTGTTAACTGGGCTGCACAATAACTCTGGGCTGTGCTGCACCTTCAGCATTTGCTGTGAGGGAGAAAAGTAAACCATGGGGTCAGAAGTGATGACTTGCTCTGAATAAACAAATACATGCACAGTGAAATAACCACTTTGGCAAAATCACAGCCATCCAATTCATGCATCTCTGTATTTGAAAAGAAAAAAAAGAGTGCTACTTACACAGTGGATCAAGCAACCCCAGCCTTGTACTTGCTGCACACAAGCAGGACAACCCCCCTTTGAATCAAACCTTGGAATGCACAGTGACATCTGAGCTTTGCTTATCTCCTCTTCTCCTGATAAAGCACCATCAAGACCAAATTGAAAATGAAGGGGGAGGGGGCTTCCATTTTGCCTTTCTTCCTCAACTAATCATTAGCACAAGTGTAAAATACTGAGCTGCTGGCAGCCTAGAAATCAATGCCCATGTCTTTCCACAGAACCGTTCAGGTTGGAAAAGACCTGTAAGATCATCCATTTCCCTTTTTTCTTGTTACAAAACATCTCTTCTCTCCTCAGTAAGCACACAGTCCTGCTGCAGCTGTATCACCCTGCTGTTAATATCTGTCATGTGTGAATGGAATTTTACTGCTGCTCAGTTTTGACACCAGCACATTAAAACTAAAGGCTTATTGTCAATTGATGAGAGGAGTGGAGCAGCCTTGCCCAGCTATGCTTGTCTGAGTGCCTGCCACCAAGCAGCTTTCCCAGGGCAGCTTCTGGTCAGACTGTTGTCCCTGCTGGCACACCATGTGTCAGGGTGGTTTTGGGGCCACACCTGCCCCGTTTGGTGGACTACTCTGGGTAGGACCATGTGCACTAGCAATTAGCCCATGCCAGCAGCTCTACGTGCTCATCCTCTGCTTAAGAGCTAAATATTTCCTTTTAATTAGCATTTCCTCCTTGTGTCATGCATATTGAGGGCACTTGATTAGGCCAAATTTCATGCTTGTTGTGTTTGTGCAGAGGAGACTGGTTATGTTTTACCATCTCCTGCTGCTGTGGGTGAGTAGAGGGGTCACTGTCCTTGCAGGATCCTGCTGTCTCTGGACTTTAATGAGAGATGATATGAAATGTGAGTTGGAAGAAACATGACCTGTCAGCCATGTAACCCATGACCTTTTGAATAAAAACCAAAGAGGAAGAGTGGGTGGAGAAATCCTGGATAGCACAGCCCCAATAAGCAGGTTTTCAGACAAAGAAGGAAAGAACTTGGGTGAAGTTTCTCACTGTTGTCCCGGCAGAGGAGATTTCAGGCAGGTCAGATACAGAGAAGAGTCTTCAAGCAGAGTGTCCCATCAGAGAAGATGCCATGGGGCCACCTCCAGAAAGACCTGCAGCAGTTTGTGCACGTGTGTGTGTTCACGTGTGGCTGTGAATATGTGTGTATGTGCATATACATGCACATAAATCTGTAGATAGTTAATAGGTACAATGCTTTGACCTGGGTCTGGTTTTCCTGATGCAGTTTATCTTTCTGCACAGCCCCTCGTGTGATTAAGAAGGAGGGGAAAAAAATGCCAGTGAAAGATCAGATCAGTTAATTAGATCCACAGCCAGGGAATGCTGCATCATGAGACTGGGACACTGAGCCAGCCCTGGAGCTCTGAGCTTGGTGGTACCTACGTGTGGTCCACATTCCCAAAGGCTACTTCTGCCATGGAGCAGCAGATCCAGCTTGGTGCCTGCTCTCAGCAGGTACCACCAGCCAGCAGGATGCTGCAGGAAGGCTCAGGGGAGCTGCTGCTGGAAGAGCAGCCCTTGCAGAAGCTGTGAAGAGTAGACCTCTCACCAATGGGCTGAAAAACGTGATGCCTGTCCACAGTGGCAGTGTCAATCAACAGGGGTAGGTGGGGGATAAGACTTGAAAACAACACTGCCAGCTGAGGAAGTCAGGAGAACAACTAAAAATGGTGATTTTTTTACTGTTGGCTCCAAGACCAATGAGTACAAGCAGTGGCAATTCCCCCAAATCCCTGGGTGTGTACACCCAGCAGCAGTTCCAGGGAAGGAACAGGGTGGGGGCTTTTACCAGCAACCATCACTGACTATAAGCTTTAGGACTGCTCTTGCCTTGGCTGGGACTGGTCACCTTTGCAAAGGAGACAAACCTCAGAGCTGAGGTGCCTCTTGCTCTTCGACTGGTTGTAGGAGGGGCAGCACAGCTAATCCCAGGGACTGTCATTAGATGGTTTGGGTTGGAAGGCACCTTAAAGATCATCCAATCCCAACCCCCTGCATGGGCAGGGACACCTCCCACCAGCCCAGGCTGCTCCAAGCCCCATCCAACCTGCCCTTCAACACTGCCAGGGATGGGGCAGCCACAGCTTCCCTGGGCAGCCTGGGCCAGGCTCTCACCACCCTCACAGGGAAGAATTTCCTCCTCATGACCAACCTCAATCTCCCTTCTTCCAGTTTTCATCCATCCCCCCTCATCCCATCCCTCCCTGCCCTTGTCCCAAGCCCCTCCCCAGCTTTCCTGGAGCCCCTTCAGGCACTGGAAGCTGCTCTAAGGTCTCTCTGGAGCCTTCTCTTCTCCAGGCTGAACACCCCAACTCTCTCACTACAGCTTGTGTGTTTCAGCTCAATTCTCAGTTCACCTCCCAGGGGCTGCAGTGATCAATGGTGATCACTAGTGTCAATTCCAGGCTGCCCCCTGAGTGTGCAGTGAGGCTACACGTGTGCCCTTTTCTGCAGTCCCTAGATCTGCAAGGACTTCAAACAGAATCCAACACAGTCATACTGGAAAGATGCAGGGAGTGGATTGATCAGGTTGGACATGATAGACTGTTGAGTGAATGAAAAAGAATACTTCCTATGAATAAATGCTTTACTTAAAATAGACTTTTTAAAATATGGCATGGCATTATTCCACAGCTATTAGTTGTTGTGGCTCTTCTTTGCAATGGAACTGGCTTTCTTTGGGAAGATTTCAAGGTCAGGCTTGATGGGGCTCTGAGCAATCTGATCTAGTGTGAGATATCCCTGCTTATTGCAGGGGGTTGGACTAGATGGCCTTTAGAGCTCCCTTCCAACCCAGGGCATTCTATGATTCTATGATTTTTTGCACAACATGTAAGTTACCCCTGCTCATGGCAGTGACATTCCCAGCAGTGTCACAGAAAGCCACTCTCTGTCCTCTGAGCCTGCTCCCAGCAAGATCAGTCCTTCCCTGGGCACAAGGCCAGTGACTGTGGCTCCAAAAACTAGACTGGCAAACACCATTCTCTATCTAATAAGGGTTCTCTCCATTCCTAGCCACAATCCAGTGGTGAGCATGTTGTTGTTTTAAATATCCTAACCTAGCCAAAACTGCTGACTCTGTCCCTAGAAAAGACATTCTCCTTTTGTTTTTTTTTTTCCCATGGTACAAATAACTACTGTAAAAAATGCTTCCTCTTTTGAGTCTTTCTTCAGTCCTGGTGACCAGTGATAGCCACTGCTCTCAGGCTGCACCACAACTGAGACAGATCTAAAGAAAAACACAACTCAAATTAGATATGCAGATTGGTTCTGGGACAGATTTCCATCCATATGGCAGCAGACAAGTGCAACATGAAAATACTATTCAACTTGTATTAGTGCTGACAGCTTCTGGGTTTCCCTGGAAAGCTGCTGCATATTGTACTTGCAACAGCAAAGAAAAAAATAACTAAGAAAGTGCATTAGTTTTCTGTGCAGCAAAAATATCAGCCAGCAATTGTTCTGGTCCTGCCCTTTGTGACACAAACCCAGATATTTTTATTTCACATTTTTCTTCCCTTCGCTTTCTGCCTCTTCTCCATCCAAGTAGCCCTGATTTAACTCCTCTGGAGAGTCAAAACAAAGCTCTGATTCACGTTACAAAGGCACTCACAAAGCTGCATCCAAAAGTTTGCTGTGATAGCCCTCCAGGAGGAGCTTCCCCTGCGCCAGGATGCAGGAGCCAGCCGTGCTGACACCAGCCAGTGGTTCCCATAACTACTGCCTTCTGCATGGTCCCCAGGGGAGTCCTTCCCTGCCTTTGTTGATCTTCTGTTGCTCAAAAACTCACCAAGCTCTGACTAGCCCTGTTGTTTCAAAACTTCTCCCAAACAAAAGCATACCTTGGGGTTGCAAAAACATGCCTTTGGCTTGGGAGGGAGGTTCTTCCCCCCCAACCCCGACGCTTTCCGAGTGGCACAGCTGGACGTTCCGTTTCTCTTCTCACCCTCCAGCAGCCCGATGGGTGGGTCTTGGGGGGCACTGCTGGAGGTGGCCAGAGCCACCCCCCGAGTAGGTGGGCTGTGGTACTGACAGCATGTGTTTCCTTGGTCCCACAGAGCGAGCAGCCGGCGTGTACCACAGGGAGTCCCGCCGGGGCAAGTACCAGCTCAGCTACGCCGAAGCCAAGGCCGTCTGCGAGTACGAGGGGGGACACTTGGCCACCTACCAGCAGCTGGAGGCAGCCAGGAAAATAGGTTGGAAACCAAGCATGGCTGCTTGCAGTTCACATCACTCATTCGTGGAATCGTACACTCAGATTGGTTTGGGTGGGAAGGGACCTGAAGGATCACCCAGTCCCAACCCCTCTGCATGGGCAGGGACACCTCCCACCAGCCCAGGCTGCTCCAAGCCCCATCCAACCTGCCCTTCAACACTGCCAGGGATGGGGCAGCCACAGCTTCCCTGGGCAGCCTGGGCCAGGCTCTCACCACCCTCACAGCACAGAATTTCCTCCTCATGACCAACCTCAATCTCCCCTCTTCCAGTTTTAATCCATTCCCCCTCATCCCACCCCTCCCTGCCCTTGTCCCAAGCCCCTCCCCAGTTTTCCTGGAGCCCCTTCAGGCACTGGAAGCTGCTCTAAAGGCTCCCTGGAGCCTTCTCTTCTCCAGGCTGAACACCCCAACTCTCCCAGCCTGGCTCCAGAGCTGCTCCAGCCCGTGGATCATCTTTGTGGCTCCTCTGGACTTGCTCCAAGAGCTCATTGTCCTTCTTGTGTTGGGGGCCCGAGAACAGGACCCAGCCCTGCAAGGGGGGTCTCACCACAGCAGAGCAGAGGGGGACAATCCCCTCTCTCACCCTGCTGGCCACACTTCATAATGTTGCCAGTCTCGTGTTTTCATGAATGTTTTAGACTATGGGACTGAGAGACTTGCAAACCCCCCTGGTTTATGTGCCAGGTTGCATGCCCAGAAAGTGCCTGTGCTACCTGCAGAGCTGTCAGGGACACCACCTGCACACTCAGAGCCACACACCCCCCTGAGCTCCAGGTGCAGCACAGTCCTGGAACCAGCAACACTCCCTCCCCAGCTCCAGCACTGGGGGGCTGCTGGGGACTGCAGAGAAAGGTCTTTATCTCCAGGGAGCTCCTCAAGCACACGTGCACTGCTGGCTTTCATGGCATCAGTCAAGATGTTTTCATCACGTTTATTCCAGGCATATTTGCTCTGAGAGAGGGGGAGCAGAGAGCTTGGAGGGACAGGCAGGGCTGAATTCCTCTTTGATTCCTGATGAGAAGTTATTAATTCACTCAGAGCATTAGGAAAACAATGAAAAATATCCTCTACTCTAGGCGTTTGCAGGCGGTGCTGTTGAGTCAGAAGCTGGCTCCCAGCACCAGCACACATGGAGAAAGGGCACTTTTGTCTCTTCTGAGTAGCTCCCTGGTCCTGGGACACCACAAATATGTTCCAGTTCGTCTCGGTAAAAACGTCCAGTTGGTCCCTACCAGACAGTGAATAACAGCACATGCTTTGGGTATTGTTTTTCAGTTCTCAGCCACAAAATGCCTTCTGTTTAGCAAGAAATACTTGAGGCATTTCAGGTATTTAAATTTACACTGGAAGTGTTTTAAGTAACTGCTGGGTTTTCTTGGCTGTCTTCTGTATGTAGCATTTTATTCACTCTCAGAGCTTAATGCTGCAGACTCTTGAGATTTGATTGAGTAAATCTGTATGACTTCAGAAGGGAAACAAGGAACATGCTCATGTAACTCATCCACTATAAGATTGTGTTACAAATGCTGGTACAGCACTTACCAACTCACTACCCAGGAAACTCTTTCGTCCATCTGCATTTGATTTTTGTTGTCAGATGAAGAGCCACTCATCATACTGTGGAGAACACAATGCAATTTTATATCCTGTGTTTGAAATCATCCCCTCACAGAGCCCTTCTTCCCTGTGGTTCAGTTTCTATTAGGCCAATGACACTGATCAGCTCGAGTGAGATTTACTGACTTGACCAAAACTCGGAGTTTCTCGGTTGATTCATCACGTGCAAGTCTCATTTTCTCCCTGCTGCAGGTTTCCACGTGTGTGCTGCTGGCTGGATGGCCAAGGGCAGAGTTGGTTATCCCATAGTGAAAGCTGGAGCCAACTGTGGCTTTGGGAAAACCGGGATTGTTGATTATGGGATTCGCCTCAACAGGAGCGAGCGCTGGGACGCCTACTGCTACAACCCCCACGGTGGGTGCAGAACCAACCCAGTGCTCCTGGGCCCTGAGCTGCTGGGGGCACAGAGGCACCCAGGCTCTGCAGGAGTGCACTCCAGTGCCACACAAGTGCTGTCTGGGAAGGAGGGCATAGCAATGCAGGTTGCTCTGGAGCCTTGCATCAAACCCCCTCCGCTGCTGCCCTGGGCTGCTCTGCCTTGCTCAGAGCTCAGGCTCGTGCTGCCTTGTGCCACCTGCAGCTGGGCCCAAGCAAAGCCCTTGCAGAAGCTAAAAACATCATTATATACATATAAAACATCACTGTATGTTGTTGTTGGTTAAAAAGGGGAGTAGTATTTCCAGTGTGATGTGCAAATGGCTTGTTTTGTAGAAGACTGTTTACATGTAGCCTACAATGTCACTGAAATAACCCATCTGGGCTGTTTAAGGGGGGAACCATTTTCCAGATGTTTTGCCTGTAAACAGGCTAAATTTATTGTTAACCCTGGTTCCTTCTTTCTTCTTCTCTAAAATTGAGCAAGTTTTGAAAAGCAAAGGGAGTAAAACCCCGTGTGTGTGTGCATGGAGAAAAGTGATCCCCAGAGCAGGTCTGGAGACATGGTCCAAACATGACAGAATCACTGAGTCACAGAATCATTCAGGTTGGAAAAGACCTTCAAGGCCATGGAGTCCAAACAGGGCTGAGGAGACTTCATCTCCAGATGCAGGACCTCTCTCCATTCCCCCCCATTCACTGCCCTGCAGATGGCTGCAATAGGGACAGGGTGGCTGCTGCAGTTTAGCTTGAGATCCTCTCCTACAGCAGGTTGGTTGGAAAACAAAAGGCAGGCAGCACTGCCTGTGCTCCTGTCTCTCCCACTGAGAGGAGATGTATTCATGCTTGATGGACAGCCTGCTCCAAAGCCTGGCAAGAGCTGTCTGCTTGCAGGTGGGAGACAAGGAGCCTAGGGGAACAAAGACACATCCCTGGTTGAACTGGGGCCTCTGCTTTTCTCTAGGGTGCTAAAGATGTCAGGAGGAGCTTGAGGAACCATCTGCATGTTTTGAATTGCACGTCCAGCCTAGCAATGATCTGGAGAGGGAGAGAACAGGACTGGTGGGCAATGTACAGACTAAGAGGGTTAATGACACTGCCCAGCTCTCAACTCACCTGCCTGACTCACCCTCAGAAAGCAGCTCCCTCTCCCCCAGGTCTGAACTTGGGGAACTGTGACACATCCTAAAGTCAGGCTGGTCCCACTGTCAGGTAAAGTTCAAATGGCCACTGAATCAAACGAGTGGTTTTCACCCCAAAGGGAGTGAAGAGCTGCAGCAGCAGCAGCAGAGCAATGCCATGTGTGTGATCACTGGCCTTTGTAAGCCTTTTTTTTGTGTGTGTGGAAGAAACACCTGGAAGAGGTTTTTGAAGCAGAAAGGATGAAACTGAATGCCAGGGTGACAGAAGTCGATGAGAGCTTTTCCTCTCAATTCAGTGAGGTTTGGATCATGCTTCTCGTTTCCAAAATACCTGCTCCCAAAAGCTAGGAATGACTGGCATCTCTTGTGAATACTGAAATATAAGTCAAGTGCTCTCCTGCCAAGGGTTGCTGTGGGTTTCCCCACAGATCTGCTGGCCCAAAGTGCACAAAGATTTAAACCTTAGCCACACTCAGGATGGATACTTAAACTGATGTCTTTCTTTTTCCTTTAGGAAAAGAATGTGGCGGAGTCTTCACAGATTCCAAACACGTTTTTAAGTCGCCAGGCTACCCAAATGAGTATGAAAATGATCAGATTTGCTACTGGCACATTAGAGTGAAGTATGGACAGCGTATCCACCTGCAGTTTCTGGAGTTTGATGTGGAAGATGACATTGCTTGTATGGCTGATTTCTTGGAAATCTACGATAGCTACGATGACATCAATGGCTTTGTGGGCAGGTGAGGGGATCCCAGCCTTAACATGCAAATCATCACATGATTTATTGTTTTCCCCAGACTGTTGCTTTAGCAGAACACCATATTACCTTCCCCAATGAGCACCTCTGATATGCCCACAATACTTGCAATAATAGAACCTGACTTATCTTTCCTGGCAATTTACTTTACCATCCTTAACACAGAGCTTCAGAGAACTGTGCTTTGCCCTTTTCTGCTTTGTTAAATGACATGAAAGAAAGCTGCCAGGCTTTCTGGTTAGCTGCTTGTCTTGATTCCCTGTTATTTTGCAGGAGGAACTCCTAGCCATGTCAAACAGTGTTTTGTACTTGCATTAATTGAAAGGAGGGAGGTGGGGTGTTCAACCGTCAGCAAAAATGTGCCCAAGTTACTGTTTGCTACAGAAGTAAAACATTTTCTAACAATATCAGAACAGAACAAGTGCTACATACCATCTATCTTACTGGATGTAGTTTCCCTCTTTGCTTAATTCTCACTTTCTTCAACCCCATATTTTTTGCTTGTCCTTTAGCAGGCATATTTGGGTATGAAGTACCTCAGTTTTTCAGAACAAAAAAAGCACAGAATCAGAGAATGGTGAAGGTTGGAAGGGGCCTGAAAGATCATGAGGTTCCAACCTCCCTGCTATGAGCAGGGGCACCTCCCACCAGACCAGAAAACCAGAACACATAACCCAGAACAAAACATATAAACCAGAAGAAGTAATAAAAACCACTTCCCAATTCCTGCCACTTTTCTCATCCTCTCTACAAGTCATATATAGCCAAGCAAGGATAGAGTCCATTTGTTTTGACTTTACAGATAACTATAAATGTTTTTCTTCACAATATTCTTCCTTTCTCAGCTTTGGGCCCTTGTTCTTTTCCTTAGCACCTTGTGAAATTGCTGTTTTTCTTGTTCACTTCTTCATTTACTTTCTGCATAGATTGAAAAATGTTTCCCACATTTTCCCCTTCCCTAAACCTAAACAAAAACTGAGCCATAACCTTATAACGTTGTTTTTTTTTTCATTTTGCCCAGATTTTGTGGAGATGAGTTGCCAGATGATATCATTAGCACAGGTAATAAACTTGCACTCTTTCTGGTGAAACCAAACAAAAAAAAACCCTCACAAAACCAAACCCAAAAAAAACCAACCCAACAACAATCAGCCTGGATCAGCTTTTTGGCCCTATGTTTGAATAATATATGTTTAATATAAAGAGGTAATTTTCTCTGCAGGCAGAGAAAGCTGGTGACAATCAGCCTGGTTCTCCATGGGGAGGCTGGAAACCTCCCAGGCCACAGCTCAGAAGGAGACACACCCAGGCAGGATGTTTTTTAAAAGATCCCAGCACCAAGAAAGAAAAGAAATCTGAGATAATCCCATTTTTTTTAAGCCACCCGGAAACGTAACCTCTGCTTTTCTTTTTCCTGTCCCAGGCAATGTTATGACCCTGAAGTTTTTGAGTGATGCCTCAGTCACTGCTGGGGGGTTTCAAATCAGATACAGCACGATGGACACACCTTCCAAGCCAAGTGATGGGAAGAATGCAACGTCCCAAGGCAAAACAAACTTCTTGTCTGGAAAATTTGGGATTATGTGAGCAGAGGAACGAGATGCACTCATTAAGAAACATGTTCCAGAACCCAGTTCAGGTGTCTGTTTCTTCAGATAGGACACAGCTTTCTGACTTTTTTATTTTCTTCTTTTATCTACAATTAGGGGTTTTTTAAAGTATACTAGGAAATAAATTATGAAATGTACTTAAATGAATAATAGAAGACTATTTTTAGATTACAAGTACTGTAAAATTCTTAATAATTCATTGCCACCAAAGATTTTTTAAATTATTTTTCTATATAAACTCCTCCTCCTCCTCATTTCTTGCACCATTTGAGCAAACCTTTCATGTGACTGTCTCAATTGCTGTTCTCTCCTTATTTTCCTTTCAAGCAAGCTTAATTTTAAGAGACACTAATTCCTCCTGTGGATGGCCTGGCTGCCACTCATCTACTTGTCTGAAGTCAGAAGACTGGGAAGCAGCATGAACAGCACAGGATCAATTCTATTATCATCCTAATTTTGTTGTGAGATGAATCAGAAGCTCCTCAATTAATTTTGTTGAGGTTTCCTCATCCAGAGAGATGTTCAAGTCCTTTCACTTCTCTGCTTTCACTGAGTAAGGCATCAAATTAAAGACTGGGTGATGAAAACAAAACTGGTGAGATGAAGCACCAGAAGGAATTGCTAACCAGATACCAGCAAATCTGTTTGGAAGATACTGTCAAGATGCTGTATGTTGTTTACATGGGTTTCAAGAAGACTGTACTGTTTTTTATTGATGAACATAAACTATTCTCCATGTTTTTAATTGCAGTTTAAATTCCTCAGTCCAAAGCAGCATTAAAGCTACCTCTGTTTTAATAGTGGCCTGAGTTTCCAGTGAATGATTTTTATTTCTTGAGAGTGTTTCAGAACTCGAAATGTTTTCCTTAATTTAAAGCACTAAATTCCTTCTTTCTTTCTTTCTTTCTTTCTTTCTTTCTTTCTTTCTTTCTTTCTTTCTTTCTTTCTTTCTTTCTTTCTTTCTTTCTTTCTTTCTTTCTTTCTTTCTTTCTTTCTTTCTTTCTTTCTTTCTTTCTTTCTTTCTTTCTTTCTTTCTTTCTTTCTTTCTTTCTTTCTTTCTTTCTTTCTTTCTTTCTTTCTTTCTTTCTTTCTTTCTTTCTTTCTTTCTTTCTTTCTTTCTTTCTTTCTTTCTTTCTTTCTTTCTTTCTTCCTTTCTTCCTTTCTTCCTTTCTTTCTTCCTTTCTTTCTTCCTTTCTTTCTTCCTTTCTTTCTTCCTTTCTTTCTTCCTTTCTTTCTTCCTTTCTTTCTTCCTTTCTTTCTTCCTTTCTTTCTTCCTTTCTTTCTTCCTTTCTTTCTTCCTTTCTTTCTTCCTTTCTTTCTTTCCCTCTCTTTCTCTCTCTCTCTTTCCACACGAGGAAGAGATTCTTCAGCTAATCAGACCCACCTTTGCTTTATTTATTCTAATTCTCAGCTATCTGAATGTATTTGACCTTCGGGCTTTTCCTGTTGCAATTTCACTGGGAATATGTTCCCGCTTCCCAGCTGTCCTGGAGAAGGACCTTGCAGGTAGCACTGAGGTTTCTGTCCTTCCCAACACTTGCTCCATGCTTCGTGTGAGTGTCAGGAAATAAAAGTTCGTGTCGTTACATTCAACAGGATGGAGCTGCACCTGAAACCGACTGTGCTTTTTCATCCTGCCGCCTGGTGGGCTGAGTGAAGCTCAGCAAAAGCGTCTGTTAACAACAAGGAAAACCCAGTTAAAAGTGTTTATGACCTAGAGTGGGGGTTTTGTTGGGTGTGGGGGGGGCTGGGTTGTTTTTTTGGGGGGTGATTTCTTCTGTTTGGCTTTTTTTTTTTTTCCTTTAATCGAGAAGCAAGAGGTGTGGATCAGGAAATACCTGCCTGTCCAGAAGCCCCTGTGAAGCCAGAGGGCTGGCACCATTTGGAGCAGAGTTTCTCCTCCAGAAAAGCATCTCTAACCCCCCTGGGAAGCCCTGCAGGTGACTAAGAAAGACTTGTCCCCTCTCAGTGGCTCTGCCACAAGGTGGGATGTATCACCAGCAGTGTCCCCAGGGCACAGTTTTGGGTCCAGTCTTGCTGAATATCTGTAGTAATGATCTAGATGAGGGGAAGGTCTGGAGAGCAAGTCCTGTGAGGAGGGGCTGAGGGTGTTTAGTTTGGAGAAGAGGAGGCTGAGGAGGGACCTCGTTGCTCTCTGCACCTGCCTGAAAGGAGGGTGTAGGAGGTGGGAGTTGGGCTCTTCTCCCTAGTGAACAATGACAGGACCAGAGGAAATGGCCTGAAGCTGCACCAGGGGAGGTTTAGCCTGGAGATGAGAAAGAATTTCTTTGCCCAAAGGGTGGTTGGGCAGTGGATCAGGCTGCCCAGGGGGGTGGTGGAGCCACCATCCCCGGGGGTGTTTAAAGCAAATGTAGATACTAGTGCTTAGGGACACGATTTAGGCACTGAGCAGGTAGATGATGGTTGGTGGGTTTAGGTCGTGGATGGACTTGGTGATCTGCAAGGTCCTTCCCAGTTAGGACCAGTCGGTGCCTGGCACAGCCGGGCAGGAAGCACGGCAGCAGCACTTGGTGACGGAGAGCAAGGACCCCAGGCATTTTCCATTCCCCTCACCTCCTCAGGGACAGCTCTGGGAGGCCTCGGGACCAGTTTCCAGCCAGAACCACAGACCCGCAGCCGGACTTGGCTCCGAGCA